AAAAGGCCGGTTGCTCTGCCCTCCCATACTTCAAATGGCAGCGCAGATCAAACCAGCAAATGCACCCTGGGAGGGGTGGGGTCAGGAGCACACTCCAGCAGTCAAGTGACAGGGAACTGGGCAGCAGACGAGAGGCGAGAGACGTGTGATGTCGGGAGGAAGAGACATAGGAGCCAATGAGGAAGCCGTTTGCAGTCATTCTCAGCATATGTTTATTGAGTGCTTACTGTGTGCCAGGAAGTAAGCCAGGTGCTGGAAACAGCAGAGGAGCAGGGAAGAGGCGAGCCAGCTGCTGGGTTGACCCTGGTTCATACTGGGCACGGTTTAACCCTTCAGGCTCCCTTCTGAGGGCCTGGCCGGGGCTTTGGGCTGCTCCTGCCTAGCTGCCCTTTCCAGCAACGTTAAGGGACTCAGCGAGGCAAGACCCTTCCCCTCTCCCACACTGGGGTAGAGGCACACAGACGAGCTCCTCCACACGCCTCCAAACACGTACACACCCTGAGGTACCCAGGACGCATCTCAGATACACACACGCACGCACAGTAGGTGGCACAGCCATGCAGCCGTGTGAGGATGTGGCACACAGGTGCCGCCTACGTGGCAATGCCTTGAGCTGCCCCACTCAGCACTCACCTGTCTACCAGTGATTATCTCCAGCAGCTATTTGGCCAAGTTTTACCAAAATGTGAAAGCCACAAAAGAAAAGTGAATGAGAGAAGAATTTCTTAAGGCTTTGCTCAGAGAGGGCTTCTGAGAAGCAGATACAGACCTTACTTTTTTTTTTTTTTGAAACAGAATCTCTGTCACCCAGGCTGGAGTGCAGTGGCATGATCTCAGCTCACTGCAACCTCCACCTCCTGGGTTTAAGCGATTCTCCTGCCTCAGCTTCCAGAGTAGCTGGGATTACAGGTGTCCGCCACCACGCCCAGCTAATTTTTGTATTTTCAGAAGAAGGGGTTTCACCATGTTGGTCAGGCTGGTCTTGAACTCCTGATCTTAAGTGATCCGCTCATCTTGGCCTCCCAAAGCACTGGGATTACAAGTGTGAGCCACCACGCCCAGCCCAGACCTTAGTTTCTTGACTCGGCCAGGAGTCTGTCCTGCTTGGAGCTGCCATAAGTGGCTCTGATTCTCTGGACGTGGGCATGGGGTGTGTCCCTTTCCCTGTGCCGGCTGCCTTCTTCCAGGGCACTGAAAACGTGGAGTCCAGCGTCCCACCCTGCAGTTCTTCCCTGTGTGTCCACGAAGCTGCGCCACTCAGGTGTTATTTTCTCCATGTTTCAGACGATGGCGGGGAAGCTCAAGACTTGTCCAAGGCCACCAGGACAGTCCTCCAGCCTTTGGTCTCCCCTGAGAAGGGTCGGGGTCTGGGCGCTGCAGGTGGGGACGGCTCACTGAAGCGGCACAGGCAGTGGCTTCATGCTGGCGGGAGAGGTCTGTGCAGCGGTGGGCCACCCACAGGGGCCACGTGCCCCTCCTCCAGTGGCCTTCGGGAAGCTTCGTCCTCACCCAGGGATTGGAGTCAGTAAGGCGTGGGGAAGCAGGCTCACAGAGCCACTTGCTCAGCCTGACCACCCCACTCCAGGTGAGGGCAGTGGCCTGGGGATAACCCACTCATGTTGGGGGTCCAAGGCTCCTAACTCTCAGAATCCTATGGTGTGTATTGGGGGAAGATGGGCTGCCACCCTTGAGTTGGGCCCCTGGTCGTTGGCACAGATATGGGAGCTGCTGCTGAAGGAGCCCTGAAGGCCGAGTCTGCTGAGGCTTCTCAGAACCCCCTTGCAGAAGCCCTCACCATAGGGTGCCCACAGTGTGTCCCCGGCCCCTCTCAGCTGCATATCTACCCACATTCCACGGCTGTCACACACGGGCATTGGAAACGCTGCTTGGCTGAGTGCATCTGTGCCACTGAGAGTCTTGCGCACATAAGCCCAACACTGGGCATCCCAACATTTGCAGCGTCCCCGGGGCCTATGGCAAAGCAACGCCCTCCTCGGAGTGCACCGCATGGGGCCGTGACGAGGAAGGTTTAAACGGAAGTTCTGACCAGGATGATGCTGGGTGCAAGAGGGGACAGGGGACGGAGCAGAACAGAAACGGTCCGTGAGGGCCACATCTTCAGGCCTGACGAGAGGTGGGGGCCTGTGTCCAGGCGGTGGAGGCTGCAGATGGAGGCCGAGAGGGTTTAGAGAAGGCCAACCACCAAGAAATGCCCAGACCCCAGAGTAGCGAGGAGGGGCTCGGGGCAGGGTTCCTGCAGCAGACCCATCCCCTTCCTCACTGATCAAACCACAGGCCAGGGAGCCCTTCCTGCTCTTTCCTGTCAGGGCCTGGAGGATGAGGAGATGGGGGGCCCGGTCACTCGATGCTGGCTGCTCCAACCAGCTGTGGTCCCTTCCCCGGCAAAAGCCACTTCTCCTGTGGGTTGGGGTCACCAGGGAATTGCTCCCCCAAGTACCCATCAGCCTCCAGGGCCAAAATGATTCAACTTCGACCTCGCCCTACTCCTCTGAGAAAGCTCTCGGCTCCAAGAAACAGAGACCATGCCTGGGCCTGCTCCCCTGCCACCGAGGCCTGGTGGCCCTGAGCTGCTGCTCTGAGCAGAATGTCCCGACCTAGAGAGCTGTGCTGCTCCAGCGACTTGAGACCTGTATGAGTCCTGGCTCTGACCTTGAACAAGTGACTCCATTGCTCTAGGTCTCGTTTTTCAGTTGTAAAGCAGGGAGGATAGTATCTATTTAACTCCTAGATTGTTATCAAGTCAACACTAGGAAAACATGTCACCTGTCAGCTCTGTACAAGGCAAAGTAGGACAGGTGGCCCTGCATAGTGAGGGGTGGGATGCAGGGGGACCCAAGCTGTCTGGACACCCACAGTTTCTGCACCCTGCTCCTGCTTCCCGGCCTCAAATCCCCAAGCACTGGTGGCCCTGCACTGCTGTCCGCCCTCAATTCTGGTTTCTCAACACCCTGCTTCCTCCCAGTAAGTGCCACGCCCTGAGGGTAGGTGGGAGAACGAGGCAGCAGTGCCCACTCTGGCTGGCCCTGGGCACTGCTGGGACAGCATAGACCACGTCTGCCCCACTTCAAGACTAGCTTTTTTGCTGGGCACTGTGACTCATGCCTGTAATCTCAGCACTTTGGGAGGCTGAGGTGGGAGAATTGCTTGAGCCCAGGAGTTCCAGACCAGCCTGGGTAAAATCGGGAGAACTGGTCTTTATGGAAAAAAAAAAAAAAAAAAAAAAAAAAAAGAAAAAAAAAACTAGCCAGGCGTGGTGGCACACACCCGTAGTCCCAGATGCTTAGCAGGCCGAGGTGGGAGGATCCCTTGAGCCCATGAGCTGGAGTCTTCCTGGGTGGCAGAGCAAGACCCCAGCTCACACACACACAAAAAGACAGCCTTTTCCCAGCGGGCAGTGGCCTTGCTAGTTAGGGCTTCCTGAATCTGCACTCCTGCTTGATGGCGGGTCTCAAACGCCGGGAGGCAGCTGGGTCAGCAGCCGGTGGCAAGGCCGGGAGTCTACCTGTGGTACCAGCTCCCGGGAGCCTCTGCTGCAGGTGGCCATGGGGTGCAGTGGGGGCTGGCGGTTCGAGCCGCTTCTCAGCAGCACCACACGCCAACTTGGGGAGCCCCAGAGCTCAGGAGCGTGGGAAAGGACTGCCAGTGCTGGCTGTAGGAAACAGGCCAGACTTGAACTCAGCCTTTCCCAAATTTCACTCTAAAACCTCCTTGAAAATGAGGATAACCACTAACATCACAAAATGAGCATTCTCAGTAGACAAGTTGACTAGCTCTCAATTTTTTTTTTTTAAAGATGGGGTTTCACCATGTTGGCCAGGCTGGTCTTGAACTCCTGACCTCAGGTGATCTACCCACTTCAGCCTCCCAAAGTGCTTGGATTACAGGTGTGAGCTACCGCGCCCAGCCTCTCTCAATTTAAAAAATTTTTTATTTATTTAGAGATGGTCTTGCTCTGTTGTCCAAGCTGGAGTGCAATGGTGTGATCATGGCTCACAGCAACTGCTGCCTCCCGGGTTCAAGCCTCAGCCTCCGGAACAGCTGGGATTACCAGCTAATTTTGTATTTTTAGTAGAGGCAGGGTTTCTCCATGTTGGTTAGGCTGATCCCGAACTCTCAACCTCAGGTGACCTGCCTGCCTTGGCCTCCCAAAATGCTGGGCTTACAGGCATAAGCCACGGCACCTGCCTTTTAAAAATATTTGAGTGGCGCCGGGCGCGGTGGCTCAAGTCTGTAATCCCAGCACTTTGGGAGGCCGAGGCGGGTGGATCACGAGGTCGAGAGATCGAGACCATCCTGGTGAACATGGTGAAACCCCGTCTCTACTAAAAATGCAAAAAATTAGCTGGGCATGGTGGCACGTGCCTGTAATCCCAGCTACTCAGGAGGCTGAGGCAGGAGAATTGCCTGAGCCGAGGAGGCGGAGGTTGCGGTGAGCCGAGAACGCGCCATTGCACTCCAGCCTGGGTAACAAGGGCGAAACTCCGTCTCAAAAAAAAAAAAAAAAAAAAAAAAAAAAAAAAAAATTTGAGTGAACAAAAGCCCAGGAGATGTGTGTTTCAGGCACCCAAGCTGGTAATTCAGAGCTTGAATGTGGCCTGGCCTGCCCCTTCTTCTCCCTTCACCCCCCACATCCTAAACTGCTCTGAGCCTGCAGCTGTCCTGGGCTACCCTTCAGCTTAAACGCATAGGGAGTCCTGAGGGTTGTGGAAGGGCGCAGGGAGGGAAAGGCGCCAGGGCTTGCCTGTTTGGCTGGACAAACAGCAGAGGAGGGCGGCCCACACTCTAAGATGCCTGCATAAGCCCCGATGGTGTGGGGGCGGGGAGTGAGGTCTTTGCCTGGCCCACAGCCCCTCCCAAGAAGGCAGATTCACAGAGAGATGAAGAGCAAGCTGGGCATGGCCGATGCTGGTCGGTGGCAGGAAATCTTGTTCTGCCTTTTCTTCTCCAGCTCAAAAGAGGCACATGCCACTAGACTGATATGCTAGGAGGGGTATCCCTTACCAGGAGGAGAACGGATTTATTGCTTTATAAAAAGAAGTCTGGTAAAACTGTTGAGAAAAAAAAAAATAACTAAAAACCCAAACATCAGCTCACCCCTCTAAGCACCCCCAGGAGGTCTCAAGACACATTTCTGGGGGCAGTCAAGGTGCGTGGGTTGATGGGCCAGGTGCCCCTGCCTCCCCTGTCGTCAGCTCCAGGGCCCTGCGGATCCCGCCAGCAGGGGGTGCTGTGGGCCTGCAGCCTCGGACGAGCTCCTGGCCCCACGCCAGGGTGGCTCCTGGGCACTGGCTGGGCTGGAGGCCTGGCGGCTCCCGCCTGTACACCCCAACCCCACACACTGATCCACGGCCCCACCCAGGCCTGGACCTCCACGTCTGCCGACCACAGCCTTACGTCCACCCCCACAAAAGTAGTTGTGTGTATGCTGGCGGTGCCCTGGCTCTGGCGGTGCTCCTGAAATTCCCTTCAGGTGGCAGACAGGATGAGGGTGGCCATGGAAACGTGTCCCCGCGTAGGCCCTGGGGGAGGAGGCAAGGGGCACAGCCACCATGTCCAACCAGCCCGCTCTCCCCTCCCCGGGCCGTAAGCCAGGGGGCTTCTGCACCGGCCGGACAGGCCCTGGCCAGGACACAGGGGCTGGAATGACAAAGGAGTTAGCACCAACAACAGGAAGCAGGCCCTTCCTTCCTCAGGTCCTTCCTCAGGCAGCCGAGATGAGCCGGGGACGGAGAGGGGCCAGGCGCAGCGAGACAGTGCGAGCCTTTGTCCTCAGGCAGGTGTGGCCATGGACACGCAGCTGGGGGCAGGTGGTGGGCAGTGGATGGCAGCCCCCTCTGCTTTGGCAAGAGGCAGAATCCAGACACTGGCAGGAGTGTGCTGCCGGGAGGGTTCCTGGCTCCTCCCGCAGGCACCGCGGAGACCCCAGCCCCCGGGTCCCTCCCGGGCGGGCAGCCCTGTGTTCAGCAGGAGGAAATGGAAACGTCCCAGGCCCTCTCCGGTCCTTCCATCGCCTGCACTCCGAGGCAGGACCGGCCCCGGAAGGGAGCCGGGGATGGCGAGGGTCCTGGGGTGCGTGGGGTCCTCTGGGGTGGGCAGGGCAGGGTCAGCCGCGGACGCACAGGCAGGGCCGCAGTCCCGAGGTGGTGGCCGCTACACGAAGGCCTCCTGGTTGGACGAGCCGTTGATTTTGAGGAAGAGCTTGTCGTCTTCCCGCCTCTGCCGCAGCTGCTGCTCCAGCTGGCGCCGGTAGCAGATCAGGTAGAGCGGCAGGCAGAAACCCAGCAGGCTGAGCGCCAGCAAACCCACGTTCACCTGCGGAGGCAGGGGCTCCGCGTCACCGGGCTGCAGGCCCGCCCTCCACCGGGTTTGGGAAAGGGGATGGGGTCACAGGGGTGCAGGGGGAACCCAACAGGAAGGCCGTCACTCCGCATTCCAGCGTCCCAGTTTCTGGCTCTTCATGGCCACCCCGCTCCCCCGACCCGCCGTGAACTCTCTGATCTGAATCTCCGGGGCAGGACTGGTACAAGCTCCTGGTCCCAGGTTGGAGTGCAGTGGCACGATCTCAGCTCACTGCAACCTCCACCTCCCAGGTTCAAGTGATTCCCCTGCCTCAGACTCCCAGGAACGCGCCATCACACCTGGCTAATTTTCGTATTTTCAGTAGTGGCAGTGTTTCATCATGACCAGGCTGGTCTTGAACTCCTGACCTCAAGTGATCCTCCCACCTTGGCCTCCCAAGTGCTGGATTACAAGCGTGAGGCACTGCATCCAGCCCAGGAACTCTGTTCTGTTTATCCCCAAATCAGGTCCAGCAAGGACACATTCCTCCTCCCGCCCGGCCTCCATTCACAAAGGGACCCTGAACTGATCTGAACCAACGTTCCCAAATCACCCATCCTCAGGGCCCTGATGCCCCCTGAGTAGCGTCTTGCAGCTCCCAGTTAGCAGAGGGGGTTAGGCACCCATGACCCACCGCCCCCAGACCCCTCTTACCCACAGAGGGTCTCCCTGGAGGGGACCCATCATGGCCAGAAACAGCGGCTGCTGCAGGAGGGCAAAGAGCGCGCTGACCAGGGACTGCAGGCCCGTGAGGCTGCCGAACTGGGTGGAGGGGTACCTGCGGGCAAGCCATAGCTGTCACAGTCAGCCTCCTCCCTCCTGGGCTCTGCTCGGCCCCAGGTGACTGGTGACCCCGGGCTGCACCACTGGTACCAGACAAGGGGAGGTGCTGGCCCTTGGATTTCTGCCAATGGGCAGTTTTTTTTTTTTTTTTTTTTTTTTTTTTTTTTTAGACAGACTCTTGCACTGTCACCCAGGCTGGAGTGTAGTGTCACGATCTTGGCTTACTGCAACCTCCGCCTCCTGCCTCCTGGGTTCAAGGGATTCTCCTGCCTTAGCCTCCTGAGTAGCTGGGATTACAGGCATGCGCCACCACGCCTGGCTAATTTTTTCGTATTTTTAGTGGAGACGGGGTTTCACCATGTTGCCAGGCTGTTCTCGGACTCCTGATGTCATGATCCACCTGCCTCAGCCTCCCAGAGTGCTGGGTTATAGGTGTGAGCCACCAAGCCTGGCCCTGCTGGGCGGTTCTGCAAAGTGTTTCTCTTTGGGACCAGCCCCAGGCCTTAGACTCCAGGGAGGGCCGGCCCCACTCAGCTGTGTCCAGGGCTGTGGGTGTCTGGCTGAGCCGAGTAGAAGGTGTGGTGCCAGGAGGAGTCTGTGGTTTGGGAAACAGCCCCAGAGACGAGCGTGGAGGCTGGGCGGTGCCTTCACCCACAGGAGTGTTGAGTAATCTTGGAAACTCAGCCCCACAGACCCTGCCTCCCATCCTCAGACCCGGCCAGGGGAGCCATAGCTTCCTCAAGGCCTGGGGCGGGGCGGGCGGAGGGCGGAGGACGAGCAGAGCCGGGAGGACCCCATGGGACGTTGCGGGAATAGGGATAGTTCTGGGTGAAATCTTAGCACACAGCAGGCTCTGCTGGCCCAGAGGTGGGAAAGGAATCCCGGCAAGGGATGAGCTGGTCCCACGTCAGAGCCCGTGGATGGTAGCGTTTAGTTTCAGTGTTTGCGTCAAGGCCTGAGCCAGAAAAGGAGGAACAACTGTGGTTCCTTATGTTTCTGCGGCCTCTTGGAAAAAGACAGAAGTTTCATTTCAGCCAGGGCTGGACAAAGCTACGGCCAGGCTGGGTGCACAGAGACTCTGGATGGGGCTGCCTGGGACATTCTGGGCTGAGTCACCCATGTTGCTGCCCTCGGTGAGGGCCATTTGAACTCAGTGTTGAGCTTCAAGCAGCCAGAACCTACCCCTGTCCTCCCTGTGACCAGTCAGGGCCAGCCCAGGACTCGGCTGAGCAGTGGCCCCTGAGGCCGTAACAAGCTGCACAGGTGCCCGACCTGGCTGGGGGCACTGACTTCGTGCTGAATGCCAAGGCTGGTGGGCACCCAACTGTCTGCCCACTGACCTGCCTCCCACCAGGTGTGGCCTCTCCCTGACACACCCAGCGGAAACCCTGGCACCTGCCTCTGATGCAGGAAGATGAGCCCTGCCGGAACAGGCTGACCCAGCCTCCGAGTCTCAGTCCACAAGCAACCTCCCTGCGCCATTCCCACACCCTCGCCCACCAGGTACCTACAGCTTCTAGGACTTACACGGCGGCATACAGGCCCCCAACAGCGGAGTGGATGAATCCTCGCACGATCGTGTGCAGGATGAAGGAGAGGATCTGAGGGAGGGAAGGAAGGCTCACTGTGAGCAGAAGGCCTTAAGAGCCCTGACCTCGCCCCCGCCCTCCAATTCCTGGGGCCCTCGCCCAGGAGCAGTGTCAGCCTGGAGTGGGATCAACCACGTCCTCCAGAGCCAATCATGAGTTTTTGGAAATTTCTTTTTTTTTTTTTTTTTGAGATGGAGTTTTGCTCTTGTTACCCAGGCTGGAGTGCAATGGCACGATCTCGGCTCACCGCAACCTCTGCCTCCTGGGCTCAGGCAATTCTCCTGCCTCAGCCTCCTAAGTAGCTGGGATTACAGGCACGCGCCACCACGCCCAGCTAGTTTTTTGTATTTTTAGTAAAGACGGGGTTTCACTATGTTGACCAGGATGGTCTCGATCTCTCGACCTCGTGATCCACCCGCCTCGGCCTCCCAAAGTGCTGGGATTACAGGCTGAGCCACCGCGCCCGGCCAGTTTTTGGAAATTTCTAAAGCCAGTAATTAACACGGTCATCATTAAAAATTAAATTATAGTCCGGGTGCAGTGGCTCACATCCGTAATCCCAGCACTTTGAGGGCGAGGTGGATAAATCATCTGAGGTCAGGAGTTCGAGACCAGCCTGTCCAACATGGTGAAACCCTGTCTCTACTAAAAATACAAAAATTAGCCAGGCTTCGTGACAGATGCCTATAATCCTAGCTACTTGGGAGGCTGAGGCATGAGAATCGCTGGAACCCAGGAGGCAAAGGTTGCAGTGAGCTAAGATCAGGCCGCTGTACTCTAGCCTGGGTGACAGAGTGAAACTCGGTCTCAAAAAATAAATAAGTAAGGCCGGGCGCAGTGGCTCACGCCTGTAATCCCAGCACTTTGGGAGGCCGAGGCAGGCAGATCACAAAGTCAAGAGATTGAGACCATCCTGGTCAACATGGTGAAACCCCATCTCTACTAAAAATACAGAAATTAGCTGGGCAAAGTGGCGCATGCCTGTAGTCCCAGCTACTTGGGAGGATGAGGCAGGAGAATGCTTGAACCTGGGAGGCAGAGGTTGCAGTGAGTGAAGATCGAGCCACTGCACTCCAGCCTGGGCAACAAGAGCAAAACTCCGTCTCTAAATAAATAAATAAAATAAAATTACAGGCTGGGTGGCTCATGCCTATAATCCCAGCACTCTGGGAGGCTGAGGTGGGTGGCTCACTTGAGGTCAGGAGTTCAAGACCAGCATGACCAACATGGTGAAACCCCACCTCTACTAAAAATACAAAAATTAGCTGGGCATGGTGGCAAACTCCTATAATCCCAGCTACTCGGGAGGTTGAGGCAGGAAAATCGCTTGAACCCGGGAGGTGGAAGTCGTAGTGAGCCGAGATCACGCCACTACACTCTAGCCTGGGTGACAGAGCGAGACTCCATGTCAAAAAAATAAATTAATTAAATTATATATATTTATGACTAAATAAATAAATTATATTAAAATAAAGGTAATGAATACTCAAAACTCATCACTCGCTGGCCTGGTGCAGTGGCTCACGCCTATAATCCCAGCACTTTGGGAGGACAGAGAAGATTGCTTGAGCCCAGAAGCTCCAGACTAGCCTGGGCAACGTGGCAAGACCCCATCTCTACAAAAAATATAAAATGGGCTTGGTGGCACATGCCTGTATTCCCAGCTACTCAGGAGGCTGAGGTGGGAGGATCACCTGAGCTCAGGAAGTCAAGGCTGTAGTGAGCCACGGTCCCACCACTGCACTGGAGCCTGGCCCTATGAGAGTGAGACCATCTCAAACACACACACACACACACACACACACACACACACACAAAACCTCATCCCTTCCTAATCACTGTACTTGGGTCACCAGTCTGAGCGTTTCAGGCTTTTCCATCTGCCGTAGATGTATGGTAGAAACATCATGTGACTCTGAAGCTCCTTCCTATTCCACATCAGTGACATCGCATGGGTGGCTTGAAATCAGCCATGCTGAGACCAGGTACACCACAGAAATCTGCAAACACTAACCTGGGGCCCCGGCGCTGTTAGATATGTGGGCACAGCGCTGAGTGAGAGGAGGTGGCTGAGCACGCCTCGGGCTGCCTTTGCCCACTGCGGACTGTGCGCCCCGGCCTCCACGCCAGCGCCCCCCGCCCTCCCAGTGGGTGGCCGCCCTCTCACCTCCCTACTGAAGTGTTTCTTCCTTGTGTGTGTGGTTTATTTTGTTTTGAGACAGAGTCTCCCTCTATCCCGGAGGCTGGAGTGCAGTGGCGTGATCTCGGCTCACTGCTACCTCCGCCTCCGGGGTTCAAGCGATTCTCCTGCCTCAGCCTCAAGAGCAGCTGGGATTACAGACATGTGCCACCATGCCTGGCTACTTTTTTTTGAGACAAGGTCTCACTCCGGTTGCCCGTGCCCTGGTGTGATCTCAGTTCACCGCAGCCTCAACTTCCGGGGGTGCAGTGAGCTGAGATTCCCCCACCTCAGCCTCCTGAGTAGCTGGGATGGGACTACAGGTGTGCGTCCCAATACCCGGCTTGTTTTTATTTTTAGCAGAGACAGGGCATTGCCATGTGGCCCAGGCTGGTCCCTCCTGAGGTCCTATTGCTGTCTGTGGGAGGGCCCCTGCCCAGGAAGGCTGCTGCTGGCAGGCCTCGCAAGCTCCAAGAGGCGCTTCTTAACGCTTCCTGGCAGGCCTGAGAGCCGTCCTCTTGGCTGCCAGGTCCCTGTAGTTGCCTTTTTTTGTCTTTTGTACATAGCCCTGCCATCCTGCTCAGCAGCCAGGACCTGTTCCCAGGAATGCAGAGGGGGAGGAGGAGGGGCTGCTCTTTGCCGTGTTGAGGGCTGTGCCCAGTGTGCACACACACATACACACATACACACACATATGCATGCACGCATACGCACAGGCACACACACACATGCATGCATGCATACACAGGCACACACATGCACATACGCACACACAGGCACACAAAGGCACACACATGCATGCATGCATACACAAGCACACACATACACACATGCATGCACGCATACACACAGGCACACACACATGCATGCACGCATACACACAGGCACACACACGCATGCATGCATATGCAGGCACACATGCACACACACACATGCACACATGCACACACACAGGCACACACACCTGCCTCAAATGCCTTGCCCTTTTTACAGCTTTTCTTTCAGCAAGAGCAAAAAGGAGATGACTGTCTCCGCTGAGTACTGCCCCTTGACTGGACAAGGTGGTCAGGGCAAAGGTCTGCTGGTCTTGCAGAGAAAGCCACCTGGGAGGCCAGGAGGGCTGCAGCACCCCATCCCCTGGGGTGGCACAAACACTCATGGGGTCACTGCGGTCTGCACACCCAGTGTCAGCACACACATAAACTTCCCGCGGGCGGGGCACACCTGGGTGCTGAGCGCCCCTCAATAGCTGGCCACCTGTAAGAAGGGAGGGACTCTTACTTCCCTCCTGGACTTGACCCGCAATACCATCTGGATATACCTATCTGGAAGCAAGAATGTCACTTGTGTCCTTCCACCATCTGTAAATTTAAGGACTGGGCCATACCTCCTGCTAGCCCACTTCACAGATCTGCTGGAGGCGGGGTGGCGCCTGGCCACTGACAAAGTCCACCTTACCCAAAATCTCTGCCAAACGTCGGGTTGCAGAAGCCTCAGAAGTTTGGCAAACAAATTAAGCTTTTTTTTTTTTTTTTTTTTTTTTTTGAGATGGAGTTTCGCTCTTTCCAGGCTGGAGTGCAATGGCGTGATCTCGGCTCACCGCAACCTCCGCCTCCTGGGTTCAGGCAATTCTCCTGCCTCAGCCTCCTGAGTAGCTGGGATTACAGGCACGCGCCACCACGCCCAGCTAGTTTTTTGTATTTTTAGTAGAGACGGGGTTTCACCATGTTGACCAGGATGGTCTCGATCTCTCGACCTTGTGATCCACCCGCCTCGGCCTCCCAAAGTGCTGGGATTACAGGCTTGAGCCACCGCGCCCGGCTGCTTTTTTTTTTTTTTTTGAGACAGAGGCTCACTCTGTGACCCAGGCTGGAGTGCAGTGGCGCGATCTCGGCTCACTGCAACCTCCGCCTCCTGTGTTCAAGTGATTCTCCTGCCTCAGCCTCCCGAGCAGCTGGGACTACAGGCGCCCAGCAACAAGCCTGGCTATTTTTTGTATTTTTTGTAGAGAAAGGATTCGCCTCAAGCAATCCACCTGCCTCTGCCTCCCAAAGGGTTGGGCTTACAGGCATGACCCACCGTGCCCAGCCTCAAATGAAGCTTTTGAATCCAGATCTGAGGCCACCATCAGGTCTTTCTCCACTCTGTTCAGTGTAGAAACCCTGTGAGACTCTGGTAACGGGAGCAGAGGTTCCCACCAACGCCACAGATCAGCCAGACCTCTCTGGACATCAGCTTCCAGCTGTCTGAGCCAATACAAAACAACCCCACAGCAACCCCACGCACTTCCGGGAAATGGGATGATGGTGGCATCAATGGTGCTGCACGATGCCCCCAAAACCAAGATCGATGTGGCTTCCTGGAGAGGAGTGCCCATGTAGAGACAATCCAGCCGCGAGCAGAGCCTGGCGGGTGACAGACCCTCTGCGGACAGCCAAGGGCTGGTGGGCTGCTCGGTTGAATGAACGAATGAAAGTCACCATCTGCTTTTTGATGGTGTCCATGAAACATTACACACTTTTTTTTTTTTTGAGACATTGTTTAGCTCTTGTTACCCAGGCTGGAGTGCTGTGGTGCAATCTCGGCTCACCACAACCTCCGCCTCCTGGATTCAAGCGATTCTCCTGCCTCAGCCTCCCGAGTAGCTAGGACTACAGGCACACACCACCACACCTGGCTAATTTTGTATTTTTAGTAGATATGGGCCTTCTCCAAGTTTGGCCAGGCTGGTCTTGAACTCTCGACCTCAGGTGATCCGCCCGCCTCGGCCTCTCAAAGTGTTGAGATGACAGGTGTGAGCCACCGCGCCCAGCCCACACGTTTGAGCCTTCACACGTTCCTTCTTATTGCCCGGAACCCCGTGGCCTCTCCTGCTCCCCATACCCACCTGTAGAGGCAGGTTAGGAATGAGGCAGGTCACCCCAAAGCCTACAAGCAGCACATTGGTGAAGGCGAAGGCCCGCATGGCGTTGGTGACCTTCTGGATCTGCCGGTCCCGCGTCGTCTTCTTCTCACTTCTGCAGAGACACAGAACATGCAGGGGTGGGAGGGCTCCCGGAAGGAAGCTGGTGCTCCCGAGAAGTCAAGCCCCAAGAGTCGCAGAACGTGAACTGACGCAAGACTCAGAAGCCAGCCGGGCAGGTTTTAGGAACTGTGTCGGGGCTAGACCAGCACTGCGGGCACTCCCTGGTCCCACTCAATGGAGCGGGGTCTCAGGTAGGAGAAGATGGCCATTGATATCCTGCAGCGCTGCTGTAAGCTAAGATGACAGGGAGGGAAGGAGCAGACTGTGCCTGGGCTGGCACACGGCAAAGCCTCACTTCACAACTGGCTTCAGGTTCACCCAAATCTTCCAGGAGGCTGATAATAAGCCAGATACAAGCCAAAAAAGGGAGTGAATGGGTTTCCCCTTGGCGGGGGGGCAGGAGAGGGTAAAGGGGAAACGGGCAGGCAGCAGAACCGGAGTGGAACCAGAGTGGGCAGAAATAACCTCCTGGCTGCAGGAGCTAACCTAGCTAGCAGAGCTCTCTCTGTAATTATCTCCTGGTGAATTAACTATTAGCGATCCCAGCCTCACACCCACGCAGATACCCAGGCGATCACACAGCATCCAGGAGTGGACCCCAGGTACTCAGAGATTTGCAGGGAGTCCCAAGCCCCCACCTCCTGTGTGGCCCCAGGCAAACCACTCAACCTCCCAGCCTCAGTTCCCTCATCTTTAAAATCGGTCTAGCAATTCCCTGTGGTGCTGGGAGGCTTCACTGAGATTCTGTGCATTAACTGCTCAGCAGAGAGCCTCAAGCAATAAACCGTAGCTTATTACATGAAGGTGGAGTTCTAGAACACAGCGTTTAACTCATCCTCTGATCTTAGAGCCTGTCCCTTACGTACAGCGGGACTCCTGGGCCTTGTTTCAGCTTCACAATCATGAAAGACTCTATTAACACATACTATGCTTATAGCAACGTACTACTCAAACTTAGTGGATAAACCCCGCAGACAAGTGGGGCGCCTTTAAGATGGCGTACGTACCACTGCCAAGGGGTGGGGGGGATGCTCTCAGGAGCAGGACGCTTTGCTCTCCGTTCCCCACACACTTTCACCTGCTGTCTCTCTTTCTTTCACCTTGCTCAATGTTTCTTTCTTCTTTTTTCTTTTGAGACAGAGTCTCGCTCTGTTGCCCAGGCTGGAGTGCAGTGGTGCAATCTCGGCTCACTGCAACCTCTGCCTCCTGGGTTCAAGTGACTCTCCTGCCTCAGCCTCCTGAGTAGCTGGGATTACAGGCGCCCGCCACCACGCCTGGCTAAATGTTGTATTTTTAGTAGAGGACAGTTCACCTTGCTCAGGCTGGTCTCGAACACATGACTTTGTGATCCGCCTGCCTGGGCCTCCCAAAATGCTGGGATTATAGGTGTGAGCCACCATGCCCAGCTTAAACTTTTTTTGAGACATGGTCTTGCTGTGTCACCCAGAATGGAGTACAGTAGCACGATCACAGCTCACTGCAGCCTCATGAGCAGTCCTGCTGCCTCAGCCACCTAAGTAGCTGCCACCATGCCTGGCTGATTTTTAAATTTGTTTGAAATACGGTCTTGCTCTGTCGCCACTGCAGCCTCAACCTCCCCAGGCTCAGGCGATCCTCTCACCTCAGCCTCTCGAGTAGCTGGGACTACACGTGCAAACCACCACACCTGGTTCACTTTTGTATTTTTTGGTGAAGATAGGGTTTTACCACATTGCCCAGGCTGGTCACTAACTCCTGGGCTCAAGCAGTTCACCCACCTCAAACTTCCAAAGTGTTGGTATTGTAGGCATGAACCACCAGGCCTGGCCAATTTTTAAATTTTTGTCAAGATGGGGGGCTGGCCATGTTTGCCAGGCTAGTCTCGAACTCCTGGCCTCAAGTGATCTTCCTGCCTCCGCCTTTCAAAGTGCTGGGATTATAGGCATGAGTCAGCAGACTCAGCCTCAAACTTCAGCATACAAGGAATTTCCATAAAGAGGGGAGCAGCTTAATAAATTTCCATAAAGAGGGGAGCTGAGCTGAGTGAGTGAGTGAGTGGAAGGACCCGGAGAGGAGTTGGAGTGCAGCCCTCTCTCCCTCCCACCTGCCCACCCCTGCCTGCCTGACACGCAGCTCTGGGGTCTCTGTGCAGGGCCGAGGGCTGGGGGCCTACGCACTGGGTGGCGTCTTTGTCCTCGGGCTCCTCGGAGGCGTCTTCACACTCCTTCAGCCTCCAGTCCATGATGTAGCCAATGACAGGCGCCGTGAGCAGGCACAGCAGCTGGAGCACGCCAAAGATGGAGGTGTAGAGACCAACTGCGGGGGAAGGGCTGTGTCACAGGGGTCCCGGCAGACAGCCCTGGGGGCAGGGACTGGGCACCAGCTGGGAAGGGGCTAGTGCCAATAGGCTCTTTGGAGGTCTGCCCCCGAACCCCGTCACTGTGGGTCTTGCCGGGAGCCCAGAGGCCTTAACTCTGAAGTCGAGGCTGGAATGGGGCAGGGAACCTTCTTCTCAGCTCCAAATCCCCTGCTTCTTTTTCTTCTTCTTTCTTGAGATGGGGTCTCACTCTTGTTGCCCGGACTGGAGTGCAGTGGTGCGATCTTGGCTCACTGCAACCTCCAACTCCCTGGTTCAAGTGATTCTCTGCCTTAGCCTCCCGAGTAGCTGGGATTATAGGCATTCACCACCACGCCTGATTTATTTTATTTTATTTTATTTTATTTTATTTTATTTTTATTTTTAGTAGAGACAGGGTTTCACCATGTTGGCCAGGATAGTCTTGATCTCCTGACCTTGTGATCCACCTGCCTCAGCCTCCCAAAGTGCTGGGATGACAGGCGTGAACCACCACGCCCGGCTTCCCCTGCCTGTTTCTAAGAAACAGCGAAGTTAAAAAAAAGAAAGAAAAAGAAACAGCGCAGGAAACCCAGGGTGTCACAATGGCCTTCCCAGAACTCTGGGAAGCCGCCAGAACGTGGGAGCTCCACAGCTGCCAATGCCCAAGACGGAGGCGTTCTAAGCCACTGGCCACTAGGTTCTGCCTCTAAAACACCCCAGGAAGGCACCGCTCACAGGGCTCTAGCGGAAGGGCTTCCGTGTTCAAAGACTTACAACTACAGTGGGTTTTCCAGGGAAACAGACGCTGAGTGTTGACTGCCCCCTCTACCCCCACGGCTCTAGCCAGGAGGGATGTCTGGAGCTTGAGGCAAGGAGCTTCTGGGTTGAACAGACTGGCTGGGTGGGGATGTCATAAGGTTCCCTGACACCCCCCCACCCACTTACCCGTGGCCATCACTGCATCAAGATAGCACAAATGAAAAAGCAGAAAGAAGTGAAGTTAATGACAGAAACCTGAGCGCTGTAGAGACAGGGAGAGGGGCGGGTTCCTTCGGGCCCAGCACACACTCCATTTCCCACCAAGCATGACTTGGGGCCCGGGGCGGGGAGGGGGCAGTGGGCTTCAGCCAGGCCCCTGGAGGTTGACTCGGGACAGCGCCCGGCCCGGGCCCTGCAGACATCCTCCTGTCTGCTGGTGCCGGGTCCCAGGCGGGCTGGTGAGTCAGGCCCATGAGACGCTGGCAGGTAGCATGGTAGGAAGTGGCAGGTGAGTGCAAGGCCTGGTGCAATCCGAGTCCCTGCTGCCACGGCCTGTGGGAGTGGCTGTGTCATAGCTCCCGCCTGCCCTACTGGCTGAGAGACAGGGAAAGGACACAGAACCTGCCCCAGACGCCCGGCCAAGGCATCTGACACCACGGGTCTCCTACAGATGGCCAGAGCTGGCCTCCCTTCCACTCTGTTAGGAAACGGAGACCATGCCTGGGCCTGCTCCCCTGCCTCAGGCCGTGGCCCCTGCCACTGAGGCCCTGTGGCCCTGAGCTGCTGCTCCGAGCGGAATGTGCCAGTCTAGAGGGCCGTGCAGCTCCAGTGACCTGAGACCCATATGTGAGTCCTGGCTCTGACCTTGAACAAGTGACTCCATCGCTCTAGGCCTCGTTTTTCAGTTGTATCTGATGATCATTTCTATCTTAAATGATGATGTAATAGACAATAGTATCTATTTAACTCCTAGATTGTTATCGAATCAAGGACAATAGAAGAACATGTCACCTGTCAACTCTGTACAAAGGCAGGGTAGGATAGGTGGCCCTGACTGGCGGGGGGCAGGGGGACCCAACCCATCTGGCTACACATGGCCTCTGTACCCCGTTCTCACTTTGAGGCCTCAAATCCTCAAGCACTGGTGGTCCTGGATTCTGGTTTCTCAACGCCCTGCTTCTTCCTAGCAAGTGCCACGCCCTGAGGGTGGGTGGGAGGATGAGGCAGCAGTGCCCACTCTGGCTGGGCCTGGGCACTGCTGGGAACACCTCAAGGCTGCATTTTCACCCAGGCGTGGTTCACACCTGTAATCCCAGCGCTTTCAGGGGCCGAGGTGGGAAGATCACCTGAGCTCAGGAGTTCAAGACCAGCCTGACCAACATGGTGACACCCTCTCTCTACTAAAAATACAAAAATCAGCCAGGTGTGGTAGCACATGCTTGTAATCCCAGCTACTTGAGAGAATGAGGCAGGAAAATCACTTGAACCTGGGAGGTGGAGGTTGTAGTGAGCCGAGATCATACCATTGCACTCCAGCCTGGGTGACAAGAGTGCCAATCTGTCTCCAAAAAAAAAAAAAGACTGCATTTTTGGGTGGGCACTGTGGCTCATGCCTGTAATCTCAGCACTTTGGGAAGCTGGGGTGGGAGAACTGCCTGAGCCCAGGAGTTCCAGACCAGCCTGGGTAAAATTGAGAGCATTGGTCTTTATGAAAAAAAAAAATTAGCCAGGCGTGGTGACACACACCCGTAGTCCCAGATGCTTAGCAGGCCGAGGTGGGAGGATCCCTTGAGCCCATGAGCTGGAGTCTTCGGTAAGCTGTGAATTGCACCACTCACTCCAGCCTGGGTGGCAGAGCAAGACCCCAGCTCACACACACACACAAAAAGATGGCCTTTTCCCAGCAGGCAGCAGCCTTGCTAGTTAGGGCTTCCCGAATCTGCACTCCTGCTTGATGGTGGGTCTCAAACACTGGGAGGCAGCAGAGTCGGCAGCCGGTGGCAAGGCCCAGAGTCTATGTGTGGTACCAGCTCCCGGGAGCCTCTGCTGCAGGTGGCCATAGGACGCAGTAGGGGCAGATGGTTCTGCTGGTTCCAGCCACTCCTCCGCAGCATCATACGCCTGCTCTCGGGGAGCCCCAGAGCTCATGAGCGTGGGGAAAGGGACCTGGACCCAGCAGCCTCCTCTCTGGGCAGAGCAAGGGCCGTGGTGTCGGGTGCAACAGGTCACGGGAGGAGGACGGGGAAATCCAATGGCCTGTTTGCCACGGACCAATCTTCTGGCCTGGCTTCCTCTAACTTGCTGAAATTGACTTTTCAAACATAGGAAACAGTTGGAAAAATTCCTCTTGGGCAGCAAAAGATGTCTCAAGAGCTTTGGTAAAAGACCCTGACTCAGCAGCAGGGAGATGTGCCTCTCAGGGCCAGGAGCTGGCTCTCTGCACACTTTGTGGTTTCTACCGCTCTGGGCCTGAGTATTTATCAGGCCAGCCATGGTGGTTTACGTCTGTAATCCCAGCACTTTGGGAGGCCAAGGCGGAACAATCCCTTGAGTCCAGGAGTTTTGAGACCAGCCTGGGCAGCACAGCAAGACCCATCTGTACAAAAAATTTAAAAATTAGCTGGGTGTGGTAGCACGCTTCTGGGGAGCGCTCAGAGGTCAAGGCAGCAATGTCTGTATCACCGCAGTCCAGCCTAGGCAGCACAGAAACGCAGAAAGAGACCCTGTCTCAAAAAAACAAGGAAAAAAACACATGATAGATTGGCTTTCCCCAAATAGTGTTCCACAGGCTCCTTTTTTTTTTTTTTTTTTTTTTGGAGACAGAGTCTTGCTCTGTCGCCCAGGCTGGAGTGCAGTGGTGTGATCTCGGCTTGCTGCAACCTCCACCAGCCGGGTTTAAGCAATTCTCTGCCTCAGTCTCCCGAGTAGCTGGGATTACAGGCACCCACCACCATGGTTGGCTAATTTTTGTATTTTTAGTAGAGACGGGGTTTCACCATGCTGGTCTTGAACGCCTGAACTTGTGATCCACCCACCTTGGCCTCCCAAAGTGCTGGGATTACAGTCATGCAGCACCACGCCCAGCCTTTTTTTTTTAGATGGAGTCTCACTCTGTTGCCCAGATTGGAGCGCAGCGGCATGATCTCGGCTCACCGCAACATCTGCCTCCTGGGTTCAAGTGATTCTCCTGCCTCAGTCTCCTAAATAGCTAGGATTACAGGTAATTGCCACCACGCCTGGCAAATTTTTGTATTTTTAGTAGAGATGGGGTTTCACCATGTTGGCTGGGCTGGTCTTGAACTCCTGACCTCAAGTAATCCACCCACCTCAGCCTCCCTAAGTGCTGGGGTTACAGGCATGAGCCACTGCGCCCTGCCTAGACGCCCATTTTCACAGTAGAACCAGCGTGTGTGATCTGATTCTGTCTGCTATCTCACTTTTATTAAATCTGGATGTCTCACCCCCTAAAAAACTGGTTACTGATTCTTCACAAGGCCTAGGGTATCTTTACCTTGATAAAAACAAGTAAACCATCAAAAAACAGTTGCACCCCATGGAGGCTGCCAATAAAAAGGGTTTTGAGCGTGTGTCCCGCCTGGGGATGACTAGGGCTGACTCAGCTCAGGCCCCGGGAAGTTCTGACTTCCTTTGCAGAATCAAAACCTCTAATCAGCTGTAGTCCTGCGCTGTTTTGGAAAAGTGGAGTGTGGGTTATCAGCCGTGTCTGCTGGAGACGGCAAGCCTCGACTGGATCCCAGGCTCAGAGAAAGACTGTGCCCTGCCCTGTTTCTCGGTGAGGGACAAAGATCAGTGTCAGCCAGTTGCCCTGGCGTCTCCAGCCACACCCTGACCTCCATGCGTAGGGTGCCCATGCACCCCCCGTGCTGCTTTCTGGGAGGACTGAGGGTGTGACCTGCTGTCTTTCAGCTGCACTGGGGTGCAGGGCTCTGTTCTGTGCCACGTTTTCCTTTACAGCGCACACGGCAGCCTCCCCCTCAGCCATGGAAAACGCACACGCCACATCCCATGCACAGGCAGCCATTTTGGTCCTTCCCTCCCTCCTGGACCAGGAAACCTTGATGGGGACATGAGAGAACAGGTGGGGCTGGTGGTGATCAAAGAGCTCTGCCAGGCAAGCAGTGCCCGGGAGGTGGCCATCCGCGGCCCTGCCAGCCTAGCTCAGCTTCACACGTCCCGGGCCACGGCCAGCGGCTGGACTCAGGCCGGAGTGACCGTGACTGCCTTCCCGGGAGGTGGCCGGGGCGCCTACCTGTCTTCTGGTCGCCGCTGACCAGGAACTTGAGGATGTTGTTCATGGCTCCCATGTAGAAGATGAGCCGAAGCTGGGTGACACACATGGTGACGAGGCTGAGCAGCAGGATGGGGCTGAACACGCTTTGCATGAAGGATGGGGCCGCTGCGGGAAAGGCCATGGGCTCAGGGCCGGGTACACTGTCCCCACCGCCCCGGGGCCGTGCAAATCCTTCCACACTGGAGGCCGGGAGGCCCCCTGGGATGGGCCTGGTGAGGGTGACGGGCTTGGCACTGCCGTGGGGTTGTCCGCTGTGTGAAATCAGTTGGGCAAATCCCTTTCCTTTCCCAGGCCTCTGCAGAACGGGGCAGGTGGGGCTGCCTCCCCTTTTGGGGTGAAGTGGGAATGGGCGAGCCGATACCCACGGAGCCCCCTCCCCGTCGCCCGGCTGCCATCTCAGGCAGGTACCTGCAGCGTCTGGCTGGCACTTCACCTCCAGGTCGACGGTGGACAGGCACAGCTTGTGGCCCTCCTGCAGTGCCACCTGCTCCTTAGCACTCCTCATGGAGCTGCCCACGCTCAGGCGGCGGCCCACCGTGGTCACCTGCTTGTAGAACTGCTTCCCCGTGATCTTGTGGTCAAAGCCCAGCCAGCTGAACTTGATCTTCACCCTGGGGCCCGGGAAAGTGTCTGTGGGTGCCACCTGGGACCCCGGCTGGAAGAGTGTTTGTGGTGCTGCCCAGAACCCCAGCTTGGGGGAAATAGGGCCAGGGCCCTGGGAGAGAGTCTGTGGGCACTGCCTGGGACCCCGGCTGGGGGGTGGGGGTGGGGCCGGGGCCCTGGGAGAGAGTATGTGGTCACTGCCTGGGACCTTGGCTCGGGGGTGGGTGCGCAGAGGGCCTGGGAGAGTGACTGTGGGCTGCCCGGGACCCGGGCTGGGGTGGGGTGGGGCCCAGGGCACCTTTACTTACGAGTAGTCCATGTCCTCCGGCCCGGGGAAGGGCTCCAGGGGCCAGTTAAAGAAGCAGTTGAGGAAAACCAGCCCAGAGCAGCCGGCCCAGACCACAAGGATGACGATGAAGGAGACGCCAGCATCGTAGATGAGCTGACAAGCACCGTGGGGTGGGGATGGGGTGGGGGAGGGACAGAGTTAGCCGAGGGAGACCAGAGCCGGTAGGCAGGGGCATCTGGCAGCCCCTGCTGTCCCTGTGCTGAGCCTCGTGAGGAGGCACAGCCCTGCCAGCCTGGGCGTTTGGCCATCAGACCCCCACCCTCCAGTCCTCCCACCGTGCCTGCCCTGCTAGTTATCTGGGCCCGGTGTGTCATGAACCCCCCGACTCGGAGGCCTTCCCGATGGCCCGCTGAGATTACGGCACGGCTCTTGGGCTCATAGTGAACAGCCCGGCAGAGGCGATGGTACCTCGGGCCAACGGCTTGTCTTGTGTGAGTGGAGCTCCCTGAAGACAGGCTGGCCCTGTCCATGGATGTTTCTCCCGAGCCCTGGAGAGCTCACATGGCAGAGAACAAAGAAATGCTCCCTTGGACCCCATGTGGTGGGCATGCACCGGCCCAGGCCCCCGGTGCTGTGGGGGCTGCTGGGTGTGGCCCTGGCGGAGTGCTCGGCACGGGACCTGGCCGGCGGGCAGCCTACTGGGCACGTTCGCTGCAGTCATGAGTACCAGCGACTTCCAGCAGTGACTGAGAGTCCCCAAGGCATTGGCACACAGTTACCCAGCATGCCAGGGAGGACCTGGCAGACAGTTACCCAGTGCGCCAGGGAAGACGCCGTCATGAGCCACTGAGAAGAGGAGGAGGAAGAACTCGTGGGACCTGGGACCTGCCCCGTCCAAGGGGCACAAGAATCTCGGCAAGTCCACAGGATGGCTGGCACCAAGTCCCAGCTCCCACCCCCTCGATGCCCAGGAGGCCACCCCACGCCATGGTGCCTGAACTCTCCCAGCCAGCAGCCTTCCCACACGCACCCCTGAGGAAAGGGGCTTCTCCCCAGTGTCAGGGCCAGAGGCGGGAATAGCCCCTGCGGGGCCCTGGGCACAGCCACGGGATTTGGGGTAGGAACTCGGGCGGATGGGCTGTGAGGTGTTTGCTTCATCCTGACCCTGTGTGACTTCCACAGGTCGGAGTCCTGCCTGGGAGGGAAACAGCTGAACTAACTTGGCCAGGAGCAGTGCTTTGGCGGACGGAGCAACAGCACAGTAACAGCCGGGGGAGATAGGAGCTAGACTCAAGTCTGAGACAAACACCCCCCGCCCTTTCCCTGCCCCAGCGCAGAAATGCACAGGTGCCTGCAGCAGAGCCCACGGCACATGCGTGAGTCCTGCCCCCGAGGCCACGTGGTTCTCGTTTCTCACTGGTGATGCCAGGTGCATCCTGCTGGGGTGAGGGTGCTGGGGAGGGGCCACCCCCAGTGCCCACAACTGCCTCCCTCTCAGAGAGGGCGGACGGAGGCTGGAGCAGGGCTGAGCACGGATGTCAGTGCTACATACTCGTGCTCACCTTGATTCCCGGGAAGGTGACGGCCGAGGAGGCGTAGGACCCAATCATCAGGGCAATAAACGTGGACCGAAGGTCTCCGAACATGTTGGGCAGCTGAGAGATAAGAAGTAGGGAAGCCTCAGTGGGAGGAGGCACCGGGGAAGCGCAGGAGGAGCGGGAAGATGACCAGGCCCATCGGCCCCTCTTCACCCGTGCCCCTCCTGTGTGACTCACAGGGCAGTAGTCCAGGGATGATGACCGCTCACTCAAAGTGTCTCCTCTCTGCACCGGGGCTGATACAGGCAAGGAGTGAGGTCACACAGGGTACAAGCAGCTGCCTGACTGCAGCGGGCAACCCTCCCCACCTCTCTGCTCCCAGCAGAACCCAGGAGCCTTCTTGTCCTTCCAGGGTAACGCTGAGATGCCAGAGAACAAAGCTATGAGCCTCAGGCAGCCCTCAAAGGGAGAGAGCCTGTTAAAAATAAGCATCTATTTGGGGATAATCAAGTCATTTTATAAATAAAAATATCAGCATCCCAGAAAGACCAGATGTCAGCAAAAACTGCTTTTGGTTTGGAGAGGGTAGGTTTTTGGAAGGTGTCAATCAGAATTCAACAGTTCTCTCTGGTCTGGTGATGAAGACGGCCCAGGACTCCTACTTCTAAATTTCTTTTTTTCTGAGATGAGATTTCGCTCTTGTCACCCAGGCTGGAGTGCAGTGGCGCGATCTCAGCTCATTGCAACCTCCGCTTCCCAGCTTCAAGCAATTCTCCTGCATCAGCCTCCCAAGTAGCTGAGATCAGAGGCGCCCACCAACACGCCTGGCTAATTTTATATTTTTAGTAGAGATGGGGTTTCTCCATGTTGGCCAGGCTGGTCTCAAGTGATCTGCCCATCTCGGCCCCCCAAAGTGCTGGGATTACAGGCATGAGCCACTGCGCCTGGCCCCCAGCTAGCCTTTAATTATTTTTATAGAGATGGGGTCTCATTATATTGCTCAGGCTAGTCATGAACTCCTGGCCTCAAGCGATGCTCCCAGCTTGGCCTCCCCAAACAAAAACTCAACCAGTTTGTATTATCAAACCTGCCTACCTACAAGCAGATTAATCACAGCTGAGGAGAGGCAGTCTGCACATGGCGACATGCCTGTCTCCAATCATTTCCGCCTGTTTTGTCCACAGGTAAAAATGAGTAAGACATATCGTCAAAATTTACACCTTCTGTGCTTTAAAGGATGGCATCGACAAAGTGAAAAGAGCTGGGAGTGGTGGCTCAGGCCTGGCATCCCAGCACTCTGGAAGGCTGAGGCAGCAGGATTACTTCAGGGCAGGAGTTGGAGAAAGTGAAAAGAATGCACAGAATTCGAGAAACTTCACACAAACCATGATCTAATCAGGAGCTCGCATCTAGAGTATGTAAAGACAGCAGCCAATAGTCATTCAAAAAACAAAAAATAGAACATACAAGAACCCCTACAACTCAATGATTAAAAACCCATTTTTTTTTAAATATGAAGTCTTAATCTGTCTTCCAGGCTAGAGCGCAGTGGCGCCATCTCGGCTCACTGCAACCTCTGTCTCCTGGGGGGTTCAAGTGATTCTCCTGCCTCAGCCTCCGGAGCAGCTGGGATTGCAGGTATGTGTCACTGTGCCTAGCTAATTTTTGAAATAACCAATTTTTTAAATGGGCAAACATCTGAATAGACATTTCTCCAAAGACGATATACAAATGGCCACTAAGCGTATGAAAAGCTCAACACCATTAATCATAGTGAAATGCAAATCAATATCACAGTGAGATGCCACTTGATACCCACTAGGGTATCAAAAAGTCACAGTCAGATGGGGCGCAGTGGCTCACACCTGTAATCCCAGCACTTTGGGAGGTTGAGGTGCGTGGATCACCTGAGGTCAGGAGTTCAAGACTAGCCTGGCCAACATGGTGAAACCCCCTTTCTACAAAAATGCAAAAATGAACTGGGCATAATGGCAGGTGCCTATAATCCTGGCTACTCTGGAGGCTGGGGCAGGAGAATCACTTGAACCTGAAAGGTGGAGGCTGAAAGGAGATCACACCATTGCACTCCAGCCTGGTGACAAAGCAAGACTCTGTTTCAAAAAAAAAAAAAGAGAGAGAGAGAATGCTCTGCAGACAGTATGCCAGGGAGGCCTTTGCCCTACCTTCTTAACCTCAAGCCTGGTTTAACCCTACCTAGGCTACAGACCAACAGAGCCACAGGGATTTGGGGTGAGCTCATGGCTCTGCCTGGTCTTCTCCCCAGCACTAGATCCAGGATGCGGAAGAGCAGAATCTGGGGGAAAGGCCGACTCTCCGTCTGTCCACAGATGAGGCCCTCGCCTGCAGGCCTGGACAGGGCAGGGGCCTTCCTGATGCTCCCTTTGATACCCTGTCTCTTGCCACCTGGAATGTTCTTATAAGCACCAAGAAAATTCTTTGCAACATGTGATTCTGGTCAGCAGGGCCATTTCTTAGCAGGATAGAGTGCCTTAGGAGAGCCCACACTAGGCAGCCTTCAAACCAACACCGACATCTTGTATTTTAAATTGTGAACTTTTCCTTACTAAAGTAATGCATGGGCCGGGTGCGGTGGCTCACATCTGTAATCCCAGCACTTTGGGAGCCCGAGGCGGGCAGATCACGAGGTCAAGAGATCGAGACCATCCTGGCCAACATGGTGAAACCTTGTCTCTACAAAAAATACAAAAATTAGCTGGGCGTGGTGGCATGTGCCTATAATCCTAGCTACTGGGAGGCTGAAGCAGGAGAATCACTTGAACCCGGGAGGCGGAGGTTGCAGTGAGCCGAGATTGCACTGCTGCACTCCAGCCTGGCAACAGAGCGACACTCTGCCTCAAAAATAAGAAAAGTAATGCATGTCCATTGCAAAATGTTTGGAGCAAAGTATAAAAAGAATAAGGTGAAAATCACCCTAAGGCCAGACATGGTGGCTCATATCCATAATCCCAGCACTTTGGGAGGCTGAGGCAGGCGGATCACTTGAGGCCAGGAGTTCAGGACCAGCCTGGCCAACATGGTAAAACTGTCTCTACCAAAAATACATAAAATTAGCCAGACATGGTGGTGGGCACCTATAATCCCAGCTACTTGGGAGGCTGAGGCAGGAGGATCACTTGAACCTGGGAAACAGAGGTTCCCATTAGCAAAGATTGAGCCACTGCACTCCAGCTTCGGTGACACAGTGAGACTCAGTCTCAACACAAAAACAAAAAACAAAACAAATAACTATGTACATGTGTGTGTATATACAGACGTTTGAATGGACTTCCTTGAGGATAAACGTATGTGCACACCACTATTTTTATTTTCTTTTTTTGTCATGGACCATACCTGAGACTTAACACTATTATTTCTTTAAGGTTAATTCCTGAAAGTAGAATCATTAGGCAAAAGAGAATATACTTCTTTTTTTTTGAGACGGAGTCTCACTCTGTTGCCCAGGCTGGAAAGCAGTGGCATAATCTCGGCTCACTGCAACCTCCGCCTCCCGGGTTCAAGCAATTCTCCTGCCTCAGCCTCCTGAGCAGCTGGGATTACAGGCACCCACCACCACCCCTGGCTAATTTTTGTATTTTTAGTGGAGACAGGGTTTCACCATGTTGGTCAGACTGGTCTCAAACTCTTGACCTCAAGTGATCCGCCTGCAATGTTGACACCTAACATTTTACCCTTGGAATTTTACCTGTAGATACAGAAAGAATGGGTCTGTATGAGGGTATCATTAAGCTCTTGTGTTGCACATCCACCGCCTCTGCAGGGTTGTCATGGTAACGACTGATTTTCCACCCCTCCCAGTTTGGTGGGTGTTTTGTTTTGTTTTGTTTTGTTTTTCCCCCCTTTTCTTTTCGAGATGGAATGTCCCCCTGTCGCTCAGGCTGGAGTGCAGTGGTGTGATCTCGGCTCACGGCAACCTCTGCCTCCAGGGTTCAAGCGATTCTCCTGCCTCAGCCTTCCGAGTAGCTGGGACTTACAAGTGCACACCACCACACCTGGCTAATTTTTTTTTTTTTTTTTTTTTTTGAGACAGTTTCACTCTTGTTGCCCAGGGTGGAGTGCAGTGGTGCGATCTCTGCTCACTGCAACCTCCGCCTCCCAGGTTGAAGCGATTCTTCTGCCTCAGCCTCCTGAGAAGCTGAGATTACAGGTACCTGCCACCACGCCTGGCTAATTTTTCATTTTTAGTACAGATGGAGTTTCATCATGTTGGCCAGGCTGGTGTCAAACTTCCGACCCTCAGGTAATCTGCCCACCTCTGCCTCCCAAAGTGCTGGGATTACTGGCATGAGCCACTGTGCCTGGCCCCGGCTAATTTTTTGTCTCTTTAGCAGAGACAGGGTTTTGCCATGTTGGCTGGGGTGGTCTTGAACTCCTGACCTCATGATCTACCACATCTGACAGTGGTTTTTTGTTGTTTTTTTTTTAAGTAAAATGTCTGAAATAGAAAAATGCTGCACTTATTTCTCTTAATGCACTGAAAACAGTGGAAGTTTGCAGATTTTAAATTCTTAAGTCCAAGCTGGGACAAGACCGCTCTCAAAGGGGCCTGTTCAACACACTAACTCCAGGTTTGGGGGCCATCACTGAGCTGCAATTAAACCTGCAGGCATGCATTTTACAGAGTGGTGGAATCTCATTTCCATATGCAGCCAAGCTTCCAGATGTAGCCAGGAAAACCCAAATGTTCCCTGGATCCCGCGATGGCTAATAAGCACTCAGGCCTGTCACGACGTCGAAGATGAGCCCCATGGCCAGGGAGGCACACTGCCTGCCTTCCCGCAGCTGACGCCAGCAGAAGCAGGTGCTGTGTAGCCAAGGCCACAGCAACACTGAGGCACGGCTGAGCAGGAGCCTCCTGCACCAAGACCACCCCAGCCCTGCACTGCCCTCCCAGAGGTCCGCGTGCGCCCACAAGGGTGCACAAGCTGCAGGGGTCTGGGCAGCACGGTCTCCTTCATCTTTCTTTGTTTTTATTCTTTCAGTTTTATAAAGACAGGATCTCACTCTATTGCCCATGCTAATCTTGAACTCCTGGACTCAAGCCATCCTTCCACCTCGTCTTCCTAAAGTGCTGCGAT